GCTTTTTAATTTTTATGATTTTACTCTTATAATCAAATTTTCAAACTAAAGTTGGAGGCAGAAGATGAGCTCCGATCGAGTCAAAACTTTTCAAATTTTTATTTTTAAACAAATTCGCATCGCTTCCACCTACGGGCGTTGTAAAATTAAAAATTTTTCTTTTCTCTACACAAAATCGCTCCACCCTAATATGTATACATATTACGTATTATACATATAAATATACATATGTATAATTATATAATTACAATCTCTAGATAGATTACATATAAAATTCTAATGATAATATTGCAATGTATTGTACAAATATTGAATGAACAAAACGTGGACTTTAATTTAACAGTTTAACATTAAAGGAAACGGAATACCGATAAAAAACATTGTCCAAAATTCTTTCCGACAGTTTTGACTATTTAGTTCATCGCAATGTGCATATTATATATTAAATGTTGCATATTAGAAACAAATAATATATTATTAATACTTTAAAAATAAATATAATATTTTTTATAGTAGCAAATGAGACAACGAAATGTTTTCTTTAAATAATCGTTGAAAAAGACGTGCATAATTAAAACAGGTAAGAAAATTATTTTCGATATTAGGTAAATGACTAACAATATTAATAATAGCATAATTTACTAATTTAAGACTGATGTCAATATATTTAGTATTACACATATAATGCTTTACATTATATTAGAATCGTATATGGAAATTTATAAAAAATTTTGATCCAGCAGAAAAAAGTCATAAACAATACAAAAAGAGGAACTAAATAAATTTCGATTGACCGCTTTTCTGTCAAACGCTTCTCTGTATTCGACACGAGATGATCTGTCTTGAAACTCGACATTTTAACATCCACAGAATTCTATTGCTTGTCATGGGTTTGTGGCCTTTTTACCAACGATCGCCAATTGTTCAACTTCAGTTAATTTTAATTCTTGGCATTGTGATCAGTTTTATTATATCCCAAGTACGTTAAGTTTTTAAGTTTATTATTAGAAAAAAGTTATCAAATACTATTACATAGAAAAAGCATTCTTTTAATTATATCTAACAGATTTTGATATATGGTAATTACATTCTATACAAATTTTTCTTCTTAAAAGAGATTTATTGCGGTATAATTATATAAAAATATTAATTATTTACACGTTTTACTAAATTAATATATTGTGTATTGAGGGGGCTTCATTTACCTACATTCCCGATTGCCAACAGCTTCGTTCGCCTACAACATTTTGCCGACAGCTTCAGCTGCTGACATTCCCGATTGCCTACAAACCGATTGCCCACAAGCAGTATTGCGCACATCTAATACTAAAGTACGTTTGCACACATGGTCTTATTACGCATAAACACATTGCGTACGTGACATTATTGCACACAAGCAAATTGCACACATGTGTATCACTTTAGTATGTGTATCACTCACAATACACTTTAGTATGTGCGCAATACTGCTTGTGGGCAATCGGTTTGTAGGCAATCGGGAATGTCGGCAGCTGAAGCTGTCGGCAAAATGTTGTAGGCCAACGAAGCTGTTGGCAATCGGAAATGTCGGTAAACGGGACACCCCCTTGTGTATAATGTAAGTACGAGTACATAACAGAGCAATGGACAATTAGGAAATTGCAGTCTGTAAATCAGAGAAGTTACTGTTGCTTTTTAATGCGACTAATTTAATTATTAGCAGTAATTTCTTGCAGTTCGCAACATTGCTAACATCAAAATGTACTCCAGAAATCATTCACAAGATTTTATCTACTTCATTATTTTGCGTCTGTGGTGTGATCAAATACAATTCGTTTTGGATGAACGCCGAAACTGTAAGAGTGTTATTAATCAATTATACATTAGCGATAAGTGGTATCTTTAAATATTAAACTTAAATAAATCAAATTTTCATATTCTTTATCTATTAGGATTTCGAGTTAATCCGGTTATTCCTAATTTTATTTCATGATTATCTTTTCGATTTGATTTTCTATCCTATTATAACTATAATATAATAGTAAGGATTGTTTAAAAAAGAAGTAACATGGATAATTCGGTTATAATCCATAAAAAATACAGAAGTTTAACTATAACTATTTTTAATTTTATAAATAAAAATGATATACAATATTATTAATAGCTGAGACATTTAATAGAGCAGCTTCAAAATGTGTGTAACGAGTTAAAAGATGACAACGAAATTGCTATTATAGAAAAGTGGGGAAGTAAGGCAAAATATCATACAACTATACTCATATGTAAGAGAATGGTAGTCAAATCTCTTATATATCCCAAAATTATATGAATTGTAAACAGATTTTTTCAAAGTAAAATAGCTTCTCCGTATCCTCAATAGAGGAAAATTATAAAACTAAAGGGCAACTAAATGTATGATTTACATGACTAATTTTATAAAACTTCTTTCAGTAATTTACATATGTGGCGAAAGTTTTCTTATTTCTTCACAACTATGGCCATATATTCAATACATTCTGCTTAGTAATGAGTCCCGATTTAATCCTTCAATGCATTTCACGGCAGAATATTTTGTTGATCAGGAAAAATATTTTGGTTTAATCACGCTGCATGCCATACTAGCTTTTTCCATAGGGTCTGTCGCAATGATAACAACAGGAACGATGCTCATAGCATATCTTTATCATGCCTGTGGATTGTTTAATATCGCCGGGTAAGTAAATAAATACTAAAATAGATATACAATTGTAAATAATATTTTATTTGTCATTTCTATGAATTTAGATGAGTTAATTATAAAGATAAAATTATTTACAGTTATCGTATCGAACAGGCAATAAATATTTTTCAAAAAGATATTTTAAAGAATAAAAATAAGATTTATAAGAAAATAAGTTATGCCGTAGATATTCATCGCAAAGCTATGAAGTTAGTATATCTAATACACATATTTGACAAGAAACATTTAATACTAAAGTAATAACACAAATTTTTTTATATTTAAAGGTTTAGCAGCTTTTTAATGTCAAGTCTCGAAGGATCGTACTTCTTCTTGATTGCAATTGGCATAATTTGTCTTAGTCTTAATCTTCTTCGGGTAAATTTTCTAGTATTTAATTGTAATTTCATAATAGTTGAATCTCATGAAAAAGGCAAGGAAATGAAAAACAGGGAAATATTTTACCATCGCCATATACAGGGTGAGTCTTTTCATATCCGACAAAATTTTTGAGAAGGTAGAACGGATCGAGATGAACGGAAAAGTCCTGTACCATTTTGCAATTTTCGTAATAGTTAACGAGTAATTAATTATTAAAAATCGTTGTCTAGGCCGGCCTACCGTCCAATTCGAGCGCGTGGCAAGATGTGACCGCCCGGCGATCGATATTGCTATGCGCACATCTCGCCACGCGCTCGAATTGGGCGGTAGGCCAGCCTAAGACAACGATTTTTAATAATTAATTGCTCGTTAACTATTACGAAAATTGCAAAATGGTACAGGACTTTTCCATTCATCTCGATCCGTTCTACCTTTTCAAAAATTTTGTCGGATATGGAAAGACTCACCCTGTATAAATTGAAAACAATTTATAAATATAATTATCGCAATATTTTTTCACTTAAGGCATAAGCTTAAGGCATACCTGCGATATGTACATATTTCATATAATATTATACAATGGCTTCTAATTATATAAAAAATTAAATAAAACTAATTAACATTCTATTATTCTGATTCATTGAGATATCTGTTATCATCTATTATCACTTCATTATGCAATATAAATAGGATAATGTGATTTGAATGTTTGTTGAAGAAGTTGACAGTATTTGCATAACTCATCATAATGTTTAGATTGCATTGTATAGCGATGATGCTGAACAACTTATAATACCTATGCTAATCATAGTAACACTTTACTTGTACTTGTTCATATCCAATTATATTGCGCAGCAAATTACGGATCACAATGAATGCATATTTGTTACAGCGTAAGCAATACTTCCAATATTTTGTCATATAAAAGTATTAATTTTTTTATCTTTGTAGTAAAAATTACCAAAAATGTTACAGTAAAAATATTAATACCATTCATAAAACAAATATAAGGTGTCTAATTCCTCACTGACGAATCAAAACGTGATGGTGGAAATTGGGTCAAACTGAAAAGAAAATGTCATGTATTATTTTTCAAACTTTGTAATAGTTATTGTATAGGGTAAAGGCAGGCATTATGGCCAGGCAGGTAATATGGCCACAACGCCCGTATTAAAT